CTGCAAGCACAGATTCCAAAACACCCTATAACTACGCACAGACAAGCACACCCAAAGCAGCTTGAAGCCACCGTTACAATGCGGCAAAAAAAAAGGCAAACCGACCCCAGCCGCAACCGCCGCACAGACGAGGTACCTTTCATCGTCGCCTGCAGCCACTTTACACGGAAAAACACAAGGTTTCGTGCTCCGGCTTCCTCCCCAAAACATAGCCCATGCAACATCATGCAGCCATTACAATGCGGTTCGCAGCATCAACTTGCAAACCTGCACCTATCTACGCACAGAACAACACCAGAACACCAGATGACAAGAGTCATGCAGCCATTCCAATGCGATCTGCAAGCACAGATTCCAAAACACCCTATAACTACGCACACACAAGCACACCCAAAGCAGCTTGAAGCCACCGTTACAATGCGGCAAAAAAAAAAGGCAAACCGACCCCAGCCGCAACCGCCGCACAGACGAGGTACCTTTCATCGTCGGCTGCAGCCACATTACACGGAAAAACGCAAGGTTTCGTGCTCCGGCTTCCTCCCCAAAACATAGCCCATGCAACATTCATGCAACCAGTATAATACGTTTCGCAGCATCCCGTAGCAAACCTGCACCTATCTACGCACGTGGCAACATCAGATGACGACAATCAAGCAGCCATTCCAATGCAATCTGCCACCACAGCTTCAAGAAACGCATAGAACCACGCACACAGGAACAAGCATTGTTGCAAAACACATAGAAGGAACCAAACGACCCCAGCCGTATTGTTATGTAGTGCAAAGTCTCACACCACCCTTCATCGAGATCAATTCTTTTCTGATGTATTGTTATGTAGTGTAAAGTCTCACACCACCCTTCATCAAAGTCAGTTCTTTGCTGATGTATTGTTATGTAGTGCAAAGTCTCACACCACCCTTCATCAAGGTCAATCCTTTTGTGATGTATTGTTATGTAATGTAATGTCTCACACCACCCTTCATCAAGGTCAATCCTTTTGTGATGTATTGTTATGTAGTGCAAAGTCTCACACCACCCTTCATCAAGGTCAATCCTTTTGTGATGTATTGCTATGTAATGTAATGTCGCACACCACCCTTGTAATGTCTCACACCACCCTTCATCAAGGTCAATCATTTGTGATGTATTGTTATGTAATGTAATGTCTCACACCACCCTTCATCAAGGTCAATTCTTTTCTGATGTATTGTTATATAATGTAAAGTCTCACACCACCCTTCATCAAGGTCAATCCCTTTGTTATGTATTGTTATGTAATGTAAAGTCTCACACCACCCTTCATCAAGGTCAAGTCTCAGTCGCGCACCACCCTTCATCATTTCAAGTCTCAGAATTCTATTTGTCCGTAACACGGAAGTATTGCTTCCCAACTTCCTTTGATTAAGCTTTTAGAATAGGCAATTAAGCTATTAAGCTATTAGAATAAGCGATTAAGCTATTAAGCTATTAGAATAAGCGATTAAGCTATTAAGCTATTAGAATAAGCGATTAAGCTATTAAGCTATTAGAATAAGCGATTAAGCTATTAAGCTATTAGAATAAGCTATTAAGCTATTAAGCTATTAAGCTATTAGAATAAGCGATTAAGCTATTAAGCTATTAGAATAAGCGATTAAGCTATTAAGCTATTAGAATAAGCGATTAAGCTATATAGAATAAGCGATTAAGCTATTAAGCTATTAGAATAAGCGATTAAGCTATTATAAGCGATTAAGCTATTAAGCTATTAGAATAAGCGATTAAGCTATTAAGCTATTAGAATAAGCGATTAAGCTATTAAGCTATTAGAATAAGCGATTAAGCTATTAAGCTATTAGAATAAGCTATTAAGCTATTAAGCTAGTACACTAACAGCTTAATAGCTTAACGGCTTCTCCAAACAGCTTAATAGCTTAACAGCTTCTCCAAACAGCTTAATAGCTTAACAGCTTAATAGCTTAACAGCTTCTTCAAACGGCTTAATAGCTTAACAGCTTAATAGCTTAACAGCTTAATAGCTTAACAGCTTCTCCAAACAGCTTAATAGCTTAACAGCTTAATAGCTTAACAGCTTAATAGCTTAATAGCTTATTGGCTTCTCCAAACAGCTTGACGGCTTAATAGCTTAACGGCTTAATAGCTTAACAGCTTGTCCTAACAACTTAACAGCTTAATAGCTTAGTAGCTTAACAGCTTAATAGCTTAACAGCTTATCCTAACAGCTTAATAGCTGATTCGATTTGCGGACGATCCTGCCGGGACCCTGTGAAAATCTATGAAAATCTATGAAACTAGAATTTTTGTTAGCCGAAGCGTTTTGGAATGTCATGCGGTTCTAGAAAAACCACAAAAAATACAACAAATACAAATGAGACTCACCAAGCTGCAAATTACACACCCCCTTCAGTCAAAAGATCTCTTTCACAAAGGATTGGATTTGTTTGAAGGCATCTGCAAAGAAAGCACATCTGAGTCTTAGGGAAAGACAGAAATCGTAAGCGTGGTTGTCCCTCTGCTGGCCCAAAAAATATGGTCAAGAGACATTGGCAATTTGGTTAAACAAGCAATTTTGCATACGTCGGCTTTACATCCATGCCAGCCACAACAGTACTACTATTCCAGCAAATTCCAATGTTTAAGCGAGTAGCTTAGCAGTCAGCTGAGTAAGTACAACCAACCAACTTGGAACAACGCCGCAGGCATTTGGTCCTCGTCACTGGCATTGGTCTCGTGACATTTGTTTTTTCTTCTTTTTCTTTGCAAATAGCAATCACGCAAGTGCAACCTGTACTTGCAGCTGTTCCCAAGCATAGGGACTGGTTTGAAATGACCTTTGCACATTTTCCGGGACTTGCTGCCAGGACAACCTCGAGTCACATCATGGAAGGCACACAAATTGACAAACATCCACCAAAAACAAACCAGCAGGCCAGGTTAAAAAAAAACAATCACAGAATCACAGCGCAATGAAACTAATTTAACTACTCTCTCCGAGTGATCCCCACCCGGAAACACTATTGCGACATAGTTTCTCACATACCATTTGGAAGTATATATGGCATATTTATTTTGACATTCTATCTGACATTCTTTCGGCATATGCTCTGACATTCTATCCGACATGCGATTTGGCATCTATTCTGACAAACTTTCTGGCATATATTCTGACATTCTATCTGCAATCTTTTCAGGCATTGATTCTGGCATATGCATCTGGTATATCTTCTGACATTCTTTCTGGCATTCTACCTGGTATATCTTTGGAGATTCTTTGTGGTTGAGGTCCGGTGGGGAACATTGTGGCGGGGAGCACTTTGATCCGGAGCTTGCTGTTCGGGTCCGGAGGGGGAGCACTGCGATCTAGACTTAGACGGCGGGGGTCACTGTGATCCAGAGGTTGTTGTTCGGGTCTGGGGGGAACATTGCGATCCAGCGCTTGCAGTTGAGGTCCGGCGAGGGAGGAGGCGGAGGAGGAGGCAGCCGCGGGACAGCTGACATAAAATCTCACAACCCTCACCTGACAGGTGGGGAATTGCTGAAAACCGGATGAAACTGGCAAGAGACCCCAAACAGTGTGGGGGAGCGGAGGGATGATGTATGACCATGTGTATGAGGATGATTATGATGATGAAGAAGAAGAAGAAGATGATGATGATGATGATGAGGATGAGGATGAACATGTTGCGGACGATGATGTTGAGGATGACAGTGTTGCGGAAGATGAGGTGGAGGATGACAGTGTTGCGGAAGATGAGGTGGAGGATGATGATGTGGAGGATGAGGATGTTGCGGAAGATGAGGTGGAGGATGAGGATGTGGAGGATGAGGATGAGGATGACAATGAGGAAGATAAAGTGGAGGATGATAAGGTGCAGGATGATGATGTTGAGGATGATAATGTTGAGGAGGATGATGAAAAGGATGATAATGTTGCGGAAGATGAGGTGGAGGATGATGATGTTGCGGAAGATGAGGTGGAGGATGAGGATGTGGAGGATGAGGATGAGGATGACAATGAGGAAGATAAAGTGGAGGATGATAAGGTGCAGGATGATGATGTTGAGGATGATAATGTTGAGGAGGATGATGAAAAGGATGATAATGTTGCGGAAGATGAGGTGGAGGAGGATGATGTTGGGGAAGATGAGGTGGAGGAGGATGATGTTGCGGAATACGAGGTGGAGGAGGATGATGTTGCGGAAGATGAGGTGGAGGAGGAGGATGTTGAGGAGGAGGAAGATGAAGATGAAGATGTTGAGGATGAAAATGTGGAGCAGGATGATGAAAAGGAGTACAGTGTTGCGGAAGATGAGGTGGAGGAAGATGAGGGGATGGTGATGTTGAGGAGGAGGAAGATGATGATGCTGAGGAGGAGGACTGGTCCCAAGAGTGCGGACCACACTTTGTGCGAGCCTGCGCAGGCGAAATGCACTTGGACATTTGACGAGAGCCACTTAGTGTGGAAATTTACAGAAAAAGTGCTGGAACCCAGAGCCGCGACGCAGACTAGGCAAAATGCATTTGGACATTTCACAAGAGCCACTTTGCGTGTGGAAAATTACATGAAAAATGCCCGAGCCCAGCTGGAGCACCCTGATCAAACACCAACTTTTACTGTTATCGCAAGAACCCCTCGGTGTGGACACGCTGTTTGGGGAAAAAGTGTTTGAGCTGAACTGGGGGGTTGGGCACTTGGCCATGGGTCGCACTCCGCATTCCCAAAGGAGGCAGGTACTGTAAAACCTGAAATCCTCAAGTTGTTTGCGCAACTTGAATATTTTGAACATGTTGAGAAAGTTGATAATGTTGAGCCATCGGAAAATTTGAGCAAGTTGAGCAAAGTTACATGTTGAACAAGGTGAACAGGTTGAACAAGGTGTGCAAGTTGAGCAGGTTGAGAAAGTGGAACAAGTTGAACAAGCCGAGCAAACTGAATATGTTAGTAACTTGAACAGATTGAGCATGTTGAAAATGTTGAATTCGAAACCACAAATTTGAAGGCCGAACCATGAGGCATTCAGTGGCTTTGGATGGTTTGGTGGCCGTGATTTACGTGCCCTATGGCGTTTTCTATTCCTGGTCATTCGTGATGGGTGGCACGACATGTGGTGCATCTCCGACCGACTGTTGGCTTCCAGAGTTTGCAAAGCTGCCGGTTTTTGGACGTGCGCGGAACTCCCCACGTGGCACATGTGGCAGGGACATGGCACAGCTTCCGTTGCTAAAATTGTGGGAGGAATTGGGCAAGCATCACGACAGAATTCAAGTCGTTGGTGATGCAAACATGCTTGTCAAACTTCCCTTGGCACAGGTTTCAAAACGGGTATTTTTGCGTTATCTCTGTGTCATGAGAGAGAAATGGGATTTCCCAGGTGGCTTGCAACAGCAGAGAATATTCGAGGATACAGTGCGCAAACAATTTTATTTCGAAGAGATCAGCGTTTCACAAGATCTTTGCAACTAGTTTTTGTAAAAATGACATGAGCAGCAAGGCTAGCGGGTGCTTTGCTGATGTTGCCAGAAGTCAATTTGCCAGGGTAGTTTGCCTATCGGGGTGCCCTCAAAGTTCGATTTGTGAGTTTTGGACACCCTCTGTGCCACTTACCAGCAATCAACCTACCAAAGGATAGCTTCCAGGAAACAGTTTCGGAATTCTAGGAACCAGGGATGTCTAATTTGGGAAGAATGAAAGGCTACGGACAGTCCAGAGGGTGATGTTTGTGTTTCATCTGGTAGCCAAATATCTTTTCATAACGAGGCGTCGCATGAACCTGTGATAACCTGTGCATATCGGTAGATAGAATATGGTCCCACTTGATAACGAGCATTGGAAGACTTGCAAAAACGGGAAAATCTCTGGCTCTGTCCTGGAAGTTTTTCTGGTCTGGAAAGATGGAGGACTGCTTACATTTCTCCCTTCGGATGGAAGGTGCAACCTCATTCATCAAGGGTGCCACAAGGGACTGTATTGCACCTTTCGCTTGGAATCAGCCAAGTCGTATTGGTGAAGAATCCGTGACATCATGTCCTTTCGCAATTTCTTCGCTACAAAGGTCCACAGTGAGAAAGACAACTGCACAGAGAACGGACGGACCAATACTTTGGCTAGACAATTGTCTGATTTGTCTGTAGGCATCGCTCAGATCACAGCCTTGTTCAACCTGTTTAGGGTGCAGATTGGCTAGTGGATACATGTGCTACAAACCTTGGAACATGTAGTCCTGTGCCCGCCCCCTTGGCTCAAATTGGGAAAGTCCTGGGTGCAGCTCTTGCCACCGGTGGTCATACAAGGCGTGAACACTGTGAGGTTGAATCTGTATGGTATATTGACCTTGTAACAGTATGTCAGTATGTCATACCTTAAGCCCACAGGCCCACAGGCCCACATCATGAAATTATTCCATGGTATATGGTAGACAAACAAGCACCTTCATCATTGTGACAGCCTTCGCAAAACATTTTGCCCAACTTTTAACTCGATGTAACTCGTGCTTTTGAGGCTAAAAGCGCAGACCTTGTGCCTTGTCATCTTCCAAATGGCCGTGGCTTGGCAATCCAGAGATCGTGAGAGAATGGGAAGAAACACCGTGGAAACAACTGTGAAAAAACAAAATGAATTTGAGGTCTTTGGGAAGTTCAAATTGAACAACCTTGCAGTCTGCGGCATTCTTGTTTGAGACCTCTCCCCACAAGTCGTTGCAGAATGCAAGATGTCGTTGGCGTGGTCAAATTCTCGATTCAAGGCCTCGTTCGGTTTTGCCCACCCTGCGGAGACGAAAACATCTCCGGTACCGGGACGTCTCTTGTCATCCCTGTGCATGCATCTCAGCACATCACTGTGGAACATGTGGATTCAAAGACTTGCAGAGGTTTTCACAAGGATCTCCACGTAGTCATGGCTTTCGTTTGAGGTGGCGCTCGCGCGCCGACTCGCCCTCATGCTTACAGTGAAGGACAACGACTTTGTGATGTGCACGCTTGGGTCTACGCTCGTATGTTTTTGTGGCTATGTGTTGGTATGTGTGGTTGCAGGTTTGACACATCCAAGCCGGTTTGCTGTTCTGATGTCATGAGTGGTTCACACTTGAAACTGCATATTTCCAAGCGGGGCGTGAAATCTTGTGTCATTTCTTTTTTTTCTGTCGTCGTGTCCAGGAACCCAGAGCACAAGTACCGGATCCATGCAGGGGCCTTAAGTCTTGCCTTAAGTATCCTCTTAACAAGCAGTGATATCCTCTTGGGTATCCTGTGCAGTGATGGGCTCCAGGAAGTTGAACAGAGAAAACATTTGAAATTTGAAAACTGTGAAAACCGCACATGTATACATGTCTCACTTTTTGCATGACACGTCCGTACAGACTTTCACCCGACGTGACTTTCGGCTCACTACTTGCGTAGGGCGTAGGGCCCTTGAGTACTTGGCTGTGCAAGCCTGGGAAAAAGCGACCCACACCCGTCGCTTTCACACTGGTAGCGGAGCTGCGCGTGATCGGGCCTTGTGAGCTCAGTGATCCGCAGCATCCGCTCGGGGCGAGCCAGCGGCCCCCGACCCTGCAAACTCCGCAAGCGGTGCAGCGCACCGAAGGCCCAGCGGGCCAAGAACATAGAAGAGGTCCAGCGGACCGGTGCAGCGCACCACCAACCGGCGACAGCCACGAAAAGAGAAAGCCCCGGACCTGATCCGGAGAGGCCAGTCGCTGGAAATGCCTACTTACAGCAAGATGACAAAAGGTGACGAGCGAGACAAGGACCGCGACCGAGACCGGGACCGAGACCGGGATCGGCGCGATGTCCGAGAGCCGCCCGTGGAAGAGGAGCAAGACCCCGAGATGGTGAGGATCTGCCCTCAGTGCCAAGGCACCACGTGGCGAATGTCACGGAAAAACAATTGGACGTGCGCCACTTGTAACGCCCCGTGGGCCGAGACGCCGCGGGAGAGCGAAGGGCGATCGGATGCCGGAACGCCGAAGGGTCTGCTGAAACCCAGGCCCAAACTTGTGGCCAAGAAGAGCGCGTCCAAGCCCAAACCGGAAGGAGACAAGAGACCACCTTCCGAGGACTCGTATAGCTACTACGAAGAAGAAGAAGAAGAAGAAAGCTTCCAGGAAGAACCTCCCGATGAAGTAGACAAGGGACCGGCAGGAACACCGCCGCCGACGTCCCGTGACAGGATGAGGGAGAATGCCTTAAGAGCTCCAGAGGAAACGGCAGATCGCAGCTGATGCTCTGCTCGCTGCTGAACTGTCCAAGAAGAATTTCGAAGCCGGATACGGCGAAGATGCCCCGCACTTCAGAAGCTCAACGGCGTCTGGCTCAGGCATTCCCCGGGACGACCAAGGAAGAGAAATTCCCCAGGACGCACGCCCCGCAGGAGGACGACCAAGGACGGAAGAGAGACGGTCGCCGCCTCCTCCGCCTCCAAGAGAGCCCCCTCCGGCCAAGCCTCGAACACCAGCAAATCGCAGAAGGTCACATACCCGCAGAGGCCAGGAGGAAGAGCCCAACCGCAAGCGCCCCAAGCGCGAGGAAGGACCCCGCGAGGAGCCCAAGGGCCGCGGGCGAGATGACACGGGGGGTGACGACAAGGGCAAAAAGGGCAAAGGCAAGGAGTGCAAGTCCAAGGATAAGTCCAAGGACAAAAAGGGCTATACTGGGCCTATGACGACGACTGGGGTTGGGTCAAGTACTCCTTCAACACCAAGAGTGAGAAAGGTGACCGAGCGCGTGAACGTGAACGCAAGGGCAAAGGCAAAGGTAAGAAGGGCCAGAAAGGTCCGAGAAAGCCCAATAGCGCCGAACGCACCCGACAGGCGCTCAAGGGCGGGCGAGCACTCGCTTGTGCACTTATGATTTGCCTCGCTTGTGCACTTGCGATTCTCCTCGCTTGTGCACTTATGATTTTGTTGTCGATGCCATTCGGATGCAAGCCTCCTGTGCCATGGGGCACAGTAACGTGTTAGTTTTAGACTCGCACTTAATTCAAAGGGGGATTCCGACGCCGACCCCTCCCTCCCCCCCTCCCCCCCCCTGTCCCTCCCCCCCTTGTTCCCTATGCAACCCCCCACCCCCCTTGTTCCCCCCCTCCCCCCCCCACCCCCCCCCCCTCCCCCCCCCCCTCCCCCTTTTTCCCTATGCCCCCCCCCTCCCCCCATGTTCCCCCCTCCCCCCTTGTTCAGGTAAGTGCGCAAGTGAGTGAAATTTTGTGGTGAAGTGCGCAAGTGAGGGTAAGTGCGCAAGTGAGTGAAATCCTAAGTGCGCAAGTGAGGGCTTTGCCCTCAAGGGGGGCAAGGGTTCAAGCCGTCCAGATGAACCATCGGACGATGACATGGAACCAGATCGAGAGCTGAGCCGCCGCGAGCGTCGCCATCGCGGACACGATGACGATGATGACGACGACGCGAGGATGACGACGAGCCACCGGATGAGTCCTACTATGAAGGAGGAGAAGAAGAGACGATGACATATGATCCCTCCGTGGAACCATCGGTCCAAGGCTCGATCAGAGGAGCACGTCATCAAGCGGCACGCGCCCCCGATATGCGCCCGTGGGTGAGGAGATTGCACCGGCCATCCAGCGCCTAGCTCCACTAGCTGGAAGAAGGAACTCCAGTGAGGAGAAGCCCCAGGTCGAACGGGACGAGCCGTAGCACCTGGGACGAGAGGAAAGGACCTTCTCCAGGGGTCAAATGGCGAGGTGGACGTCCACCCGACCCACCAGCCTTCGAACACAACCCCAGAGACCTACGGTCCTATCCGCGCTGGGAGCGCAAGGTGAGGTTGTGGGAGAAACGCGTCCTGCACTGGTTACCACAAGGAGAAGCCGCGCTCCTGTTACTGGAATCGCTCACAGGACAGGCGGAATTGGAGACAGAGCATCTCCAATTGGAAAGGGTAGGCGAGCAAGACGAAATAACCTATTACCTCTTAACCGAACTCCGCCAAACGTTGGGCGAGAGGACGCTATACCTCAAACGCCTCTACCTACAAGAATGGGAGGTGGTGGCAAGGCAGATGAATGAATCTGTGAGAAATTACACCAACAGGTTCAAGCGCATCCTGCTGGATCTCAGATCGCAGGACATCGGACTCGAAAACAGCTTCACCTCGGAAACAATCGGATATCGACTTCTCGAAAGGGCCAAGTTGTCGCCAGACTAGCAGCGACTCGTTTTGGTCGGCTCCAACCATCCTATGAGGCAATTCGAGAGTCGTTGATCCTACAGTTCCCAGAGGGCAAGGCGCCGCCGCCATTGTACGGCGTGAGCGCGCCCAAGGGACAAGGAAAAGGGCCGCCGATATCGGCCAAAGGTGGACGCGGCCCCGGCAAGTATGACGGGAAGACGCGATCGGTGAACGTGACAGAAGAAGGCGGAAATGACGCCTGGGATGAAAACACCGGCGAGCAAGCCGAAGAAGAGGAGGCACAGGACCAGGGAGACGATGAAGGAGGCTCAGCTGAAATGGACGAGCTGGCCGATCAACTGCAAGAAACCCTGACCGTGACCTCAGAGAAACTAAAGGCCCTTACACAGGCCAGGCGATATGGGAACCCCAAGGGCAACAAGGGGCAATCCAAAGGAAAACCGCCGCAACAACAGACAACCGCCCAGAAGAAGGCAACGTCCACTTGCCGCAAAGGTGGGACACTGGGCGAAGGAGTGTCCAAAGAAGACCGGACAAGATAGCAAACCACCCTCGCGAGTCCAAGTGACCGAGGAGTACCAAGAGGAAGAGGAAAATGAATCCTACTTCGTGTATACAGCAGAGGTGGAAGACGACTCG